AGGCAGGCTGGTGCAGTGCCCGGCGCTCACGGCAGGGTCTCCTCCTCCTCCTCCTCCTTCTCCGGGGAGCCTTGACGGCACCTTCTCCTCCGCCCGGCTCGCCGCCGCCGCATCCCCGCCGCCGCGGCGCCCCGAGGAGGAGGAGAAGACGCGGCTGGGCCGCCGCCGTGAGAGGGGTCCCCGGCTGCCGCTCCCTACCTCGGCCGTCGCCCCCGAGGTCACCCCTCCGGCGGGGTCTCCGCTTTCTCCTCTCGCCGCCACCAGCGCCCGCTTACCGCCGCGATGGGGCTCCTGGACTCGGAGCCAGGCAGTGTCCTGAACGTGGTGTCCACGGCGCTCAACGACACCGTGGAATTCTACCGCTGGACCTGGTCCATCGCAGGTAAAGCCGCCGCTTCCCCATCTGCGCCCAGCCCTGCGGGACACACCGGTCCCCGCCTCGGAGCGCCCCGGCCCTGCAGCCCCGCCGCCTGCGGCTCTTGGGATGCTGCGGATCAGAGGCGGCGCCGGGCGCGGGGGCCGCGGTCGGGCACTGGTTAATCTGATCCGAACGTTAAGGCCTCCTCCTCCCCCCGACGCGATGCTCGCAGGGTTTTCCTCTGAGCTGCCACCATCTCTCATCAGCTCCTCGGATGCAGGAGCTGACACATCAGATGGAGGCTGTGCAGCTAAGGGCTCGTCGCAGGAACCGCCCCACCCTGTACTCCCGCATCTCCCCTCATCTGACAGTTCTGAGGCGCGGGATTGGTTTTAACATTTAATAATATTGCGCACGGAGAGATGGCTGGAGGAGGGGGAGGCTCCATTGGTGGCTGTCTCTGCGTCTTCGCCCTCCTGGTTGCTTTGACACAACCTGCTAATATTTTCTAGTCTAGCTCATCCATCTACAGTATAATTTGGAACGAAAAGTAAAAAGCCATTGTTTGGCCCCTTGAACCTTGAAGAATGCTGGTTTCTGAGGCCTCTTCAACAGCACATCCGTTTGAACTGTTGTCTGTAACCGCTTGCGCAGTGCAGTGCGGTCAGGGGGAGGGGGAGGCTAAAACACCGGGAAAGAAAGAAGTCTTTACGAAGAGGGTCTCTACAGCAGCACCTAGAGGTTGTCCCAGAAGCCTACATATATACGGTTTTCTTAAATCAGCAAACTTTTCCCTTTAGCTGTTGCAGTTTATTTGACAGGGCTGTCAGTTGGTTGATTTATGCAGCTCTTCTGGCGGGAGCACCTGTAATATGTTATTTTTACATTTACCATTTGTTTGCTTCATTTGCTTCACTTGCTTTTGGTTTTAAAGAATTTAAAAGTTTTTGAAATAAAAAATAATGTTAACAGGATTTTGGAAATGATCTTATGATTTAAAATTTTCTAGTCCTTTTGCGGTATTGCACTGCATCCCAGCAGTGGAGGAAATCCACGTTCCGCCGTATGACTCTGCCTTCCGTCCCTAGAACTGAAAATATATTCCTGTAGTGTTTGTGTTTGCTGTTAGAGTAAATGGGGTAGTGGGTACAGCATGAGAACAGTACAATACATGGAATATATGTTGTGGAGAAAATGTGTTGCTGGAATGATTTCTGTGTGAGATAAAATGATTCTTTGACATTGATGTGGCTTTAACTTCTTTAGAAAAGTGTGTTTTAGTGTGTTTTTTTCTAGATCTCAATATTGAGAAATAAGCTATTTAATTAGCCATTGCAATTGAAAATGGTTAAAAGGCAGTTTTTAGTGGATTTTTTCCTTTTTATGTCTTTTTTCTATGTACTCTTACACGGCGGATATGCTGTACCTACAAAAACTGGGCAAGATGCACCCTTCCTTTCATCTCTGTGATTTTGGTTATTTGAACATTGCATCAGGGTTTCCCATTACACAATTGTTAGAGCTGAACATCAGACTAGCTCTTTGGCAGATAATTGCACTTTGCATACTTGAGAACTCAGACATTGTTGAGGTCCTCCAATCTTGGTATAGCGCCACACCTGGACGTTCTCATTCCTGTCTGTCATTCCCTTCCTATCGCAGAGCTTTCCCATCTCTTGTGTCTCAGAAAGAAGAACTGAGAGCAAAGGTAGACTACACCTTTCTGTGATGTTCCTAAAAAATATCGTGAATGAAATAGGAAATTTTGTGCAGTTGCCTCATGTGAAGGCTTGCTACTAGCGTGTGAAGGGCATATAAAATAATATCATATTGTGGCCCAAGCCTTAGAAGTGAGAGTAGCCACTGGAACACAAGTGACCTCTCACTCACAGGTGGGAGGGGAGGTATTTGCCCATGCCCTGGCTATCCACTTAACGAAACCTGAGACAGCTTCCTTGCTTTCTGTAACGAGCTGCTAGTGTAGGTGGATGGTATTTCTTAACCAGCATAGAGGCTTAGTGGGATATAGTCTGTTGTGGCTTGCTGCTGGGTAAGGAGGAATATTTTTCAGATTGAGGCAGAATAGACCTGAAGCCTATGGTATCCCATTTCCTTTCCCTGCCTCCCCCCTCCTTTCCATGCTCTCCACCTTCCTTTTCTTTGCCTCCTTCACACTGCTCCAACCCCAAGAGGATCTCCTCTCACTACAATTTCGTGAAAATCTGGGTGAAGGAGTTTCGAAGTAGAAAAATGAGGCTGAAGAAAAAGTTGATGAGTCAGATGTTTGGAAAGAGGGGGAAATAAGAATGGGTGGAGAGAAAGATGATCTTGAGAAATAGTGGGGTGAGTGTGGGGAAAGGATACAGATTATTCAGGGAGAGCAGGAAATGAGCAAGGAGCTGTGCCATGAGTGCTCCCGTTCCCAGGACTGTGGTTATATGCCTCCATCTTTCTGTTTCATGAGTTCATTAAATATTTCTCTCCACCAAGGTTTCTACCTCAGTGTAAATAACCTATATCTACTTTGGACTGGCGTGACATAGAATAGTTACAGATCTGTAGAGTATATTTGATGATCCAAGAGATTTTTGCCCTAGGGAAAACAGTTTCTGGAGAAATATCATTTTGAGCAATTATATCAAATGGTGCTATTTAATAAAGCATGTCCAAAGCAATGTTTGAAAAGTGGACTTTTCAATGGCACATATCTAGCAAATACAGAATATGGTCCGTAGTGTATTAACACAGAAGATGTTACTCTTACTATATTATTAACACTTTATACATTGGAATTTAAACTTTGAAAGAGATGTACTTTTAGAAAAGCAGCAAAAATAATTTTCTGCTTCTCTATATTATATTTTTAGATACTTTGAACAAGTAAGTTCATCTTGGTTTATTTTATATATAGAGAGAGACTGATGTGAGACTTTATACCTATTAGTGGTATGGGAATAGGTCCTCTGATGTCATTGTGTTTGTTTTCTTCTTCTATTCTTTCACTTTATGAGTACATTAAAATTATTAGCACTGGCATCCTGGTCACAAAGTGTATATCTAATCAAGAAAAGTTGTATAGAAATTTTTTAAACAGATGCATCTAAATATTCCCCAATCTATAAATACCCAAATTATCTACATTATCCATTGCATTCACTGATTATTTTAATAAGTACTTATTGGTAGCCTTTTGTGTAACTGACATTTAGCCTAGAAATGTCCTGGAAAGCCAGTGTGCCCACAGTAAGGCCAGGTGTCTCCTGAGCCACCATATTTCTTTTTGATCACATGTTTTTAAACAGCCATTGTTCGTGGAGTATGTATACACGTGCACGTGTGTGTGGGGGGGTGGTTGGCATTGCTCTCTGTTCACATTTTGGTGAAAAATTTATGTCTATTTGAGAGTTGAAGTTAGAACATAAAAGGCCAGCCTAGCTGGGTCCTTAAATTCACTTTGGAGGGAGCAGAAGGGAGAAGGGGATGAGTGGTACAGGAGGAGGAAGGATTCCTATAAGAGATAAAATTTGAAGGCTAGGCTTATATAATCATTCATTCTTTCCACACGACTCGTCATGTGCAGGCACAGTACTGGGCTCTGGGGAGAGACTGAGGACACTTGGTCACTGCCCCCGTGCAGCTTACGAAGTCTAGGGGTCATGGCTGTGGTCTGAGGTGGTGTGATCTGTCAGTCAGGCCTCCCTGGGGGCTAGGGAAGGTCAGAAAAGTCCTGCTTTACTCTTCTCATCTCTACTTCTGTCTTTACTGCAATCTTGAGTTGTGACGAGAACACGCGAGCTCTATTTTTAGAATCTTGTAGCTGTTTCACCATGTGAAGTTGATGTGGCTGCTGTCCGAGAGTACTTGGATAGGTAGACTAAGGAAAAGGGTGTCAGAGACTGAAAATGCATGGAAACTGGGAATGTGCTTAAGGGCCGGTGAGTCATCTGCTTTGCCAAGACTGGGGCTTGAAGTCAGCTGGGATGGGAGCAGGTCGGTCCCAGGAGTGCTAGGCCCCAGACAGCGTGTGTCTTACACTGTACAGTATAGTTACATTAGTTTTATTATTCGTCATAGTCAGTGTTTGGTTCTTCATCCATGTCATGTCTAGAATAGGTTTTGTTTTTTTGGTTGGTCCAGCCTGGGAACCCTGTCACCATTTTTGACGTTTCTTTGAGAAAAGACCTTCTAAGTTCCAGGCAGCTAATTCAAGACGAGTGGAGCAGTACCAGCTCCGAATGTGGGATCTCCCTTGGTTGGTGTTTTAGTGATTTTCTAGAATTATCCTTCTCTCATAAGCTCCCTGAAGCCTCTAGCAAGTCCATGCCATTTTAGAGTTCTGTTTGTTTGTTTGTTTGGTTCTTGTTGTTCCCTTCACTGAGGTCTGGGTCTGCTGGACTGTAGTGGCTGATACTCTTGTCTGTTCCCCAAGAGCACAGAGCAGAACATCCTATCGCAGATGGAATTCTAGGAGGGTCAAACAGTGCAGATTCTAAAACTGGTGTCAGGACACAGTTTTCCATAGTCAGATTCTTTGGCTTAGAGAGACGTGGTTTTAAGAATTACACAGATAATTATATCAGACAATGCTTTTCTGATCTTAAGAGCCGGAAAGAAGCTGGTCATCCTTTTAAAATTCAATTTGGTTTATTTTTTTCTCAAGTCATATGATAATGTCATTAGTAAGTGATTTAATATTATTAATATAAGGTTTATTTTGGATTTATTGAGTCACTTGTTAATTTGAATTACACATATATTAGCACATAGAGAAGAGTTGCATAATGGAATTTGTCTTTTCTCACTTTGGATGGCTCTTTTGTCCTTTTCAATATCAGAACATCCTCCTGTTCACAAAACAAGGTGCTGTTGTTTTATTTTCCCTTGCAATGAGAATGTACTAGAATCCATTTTTAAAAATCATGTGGGTTTGGACTTTTAGAAAAGAGAAGGGAGGAAATACATGGCCTTTCAAACACCAGTTTCCAAATTTCCATTCTGACGTGGTCAGGCCGCATTTCCCCACCCACAGACCTGCAACTCCCTCCAACTTGGGTAACTCGCCCTTGAGTAAAATGTGTGCATGTCCAACTTTGTGTTTCCCATCACACTGCTCCTTTTGCCTCTACTGCCCTTCCCGCTGTCTGCCTCTGCAGAAGCGCTTTCGCCAGGGCCCAGCGCCGCATCCCTCCTTCACAAAGCGTTCTTGGCTATGGTACCCGCAGCGGGTCCTTCCTTCATCTGGTCCCCTTGCCCTTGGCACTTCCTTGTGTAAGTCCTTGTGCCATTCTTTCTCTGACTCTCTTGTTTTGAACTGTTTAAACCTTCATTATCATTTACTTTTGCACTTCTTTGTATTTTTCTCCCCAGCGCTAGGGAGTGCCACATATATTTGTTGATTTGATATGTATCAAGAGATGACCCCCTTAATCTAACATAATTTCAAATAGACACTAATAAAGTTTTGAACCACACTAAATTACAGATAGTTTTTTTTAATGATCT